TTTAGATCCTAAGTCCAGCCACTCAGCACAATGACAGCTGAAGCAACGACAATGCTTGACATACATTCTAGATTAGCCTGCTCTGGAAGTATGCACACACCACTGCAGCTGCATTCTCCCAAGATCATTTAAAAACTGTCCTTGCCTGGCTCTGAAGATGCTAACATTTAAAAATGATTTTAGAATCCTGCAACAGTAAATAAACCACTAGGTTTTAATGGACCAAACCCTACCAACAGGAGTTTGGGAAACTGTTCATTAAATGACCATAAAACCTGGAGGCTCTCTAGTTCTCTACAACCCGTTTTCTCCACTCCCATGCCCCATGCCCAATAACTCCCTTCCTGACTGGCTCCAAACCCTCTGGCCTTAGAGTCCTCAACTGCAGGGCTCTGGGAGAAAGTCGGTGCTAGGCTGGAGAGCAAATGAGTTCAGCTCACTCACATAGCTAAAGTTCTCATAGCTCAGGCTTACATGGACCTCCTCAAGACACGCCAGTTACCAGAAGTACAACGGGGAATGACCTCAGGAGCTTTCAACTCTGTCCCTCTCAAGTCTCCCAGCCTGGAGTGGAGGGAAAGCTGTCCATCAGAGGCACCAACAAGAGTGTGCTAACTCTCAGCAATGACAACACACTCCCTTAACACAAAACGCTAACCTTTTTCTGTTCCTGTTGCTCTTTATATTCTTTGCATTATTTGGCTTACAGATTTGTACCAACTGGCTCAGATGCTGGGATTCCTTCATACGTCCATATTTAATACAGGCTGCACCCTTGGCACCTAGGTATCTGTCCTTAACTGGATTCACCACTGTCCCTGAAGTCCCCCATGGAGCAGAGGGGGGAGGACTCTGCTACAAAGGAGAGTTGATGGGAGGGCAAGGAGAAGGCTGAGCAGACAAAAGCTTACTGTGAATGACGACGACGGGGAGCTCAGATCCTAACTATAGACTCAGTAGAGAACACAGCTAAAAAACACAATATGAACCTACTGAGAACCCCTCAAAATCACCCACCTTTAGTCCCTGAGGATAACAACAAAGCAAATGAATAAAATATGAAAACCTAAGATTGTTACCATACCCATTTGAGGTTCCTTTTATCAATTTATTGAGCATCTGGAGAGCAAAGCTTTACTGGGTTGTAGAGGCTGCAGTGATGAATAACCTGCCTACCATCTAATTAGATGAAGACTCGTTCATTCAGCAAATAAAGTATGAAAGAAAAAAAGAAAGGGCAGGCTTTCCAGTGGCAAGAGAGAAATAAAAAACATTGTATAGTGGTAAAGTCTAGGCAAAGAGAGAGAGAGAGAAAAAACAAAGTGCTATGGGATTTAAAGGAGAAAGAACAATAATGACTGCTTGAGGGAGAAATATTAGGAAACATGAATGGAATATGTAGGCCAAAACTCAGAAGGTCAGAGCAGCTGCTAATCAGGAGTTTCTGGCAGTGGCCCCGGCAGGAGAGATGTGGACAGGCCCATGCCTGTAGACGGGCTGGGGTCAGTGAGACGGGAACAAGCAGCAAGGGGAGGCTGTGGGGGCAGAGGTCCCGGCATCTGGCAACAAAGTGCAAGGCAGAGCACTTTCCTCCAAGGAATGCAACATGGTTGTAGAAGTTAGGACAAGCTGATTTGAAGGATAACCACGAGAGTTGCGAAAGTGTAAGCAGAGACAGCCACACTTGTGTGAAAACACAAATCCAAACAGCCACTCCCTGGGCAGGTACCCCTTCCCCCAGGCTTTACTCCTAATAAAGTAGAACATTAATGAAGGAGTGCTTATGCTCTTGTGCGTCAATATATTGTTCACAATATTCTGTCTTCCTCCTAGCCCCAAGGAATCTCCTAAAACAGAGGAAAACCTCTGGCTCCAGCTCCAAGGAACCTTCTGAAACAGAGGGAAAACTTGGGCACCAGTGGCAGAAACAGAAAAGATAACACGTCTGGTGCCTCAAGTTAGAGATCTGGTTTTCCCACACATCCTGCTGTCTTAGAAAATTGTCATCATTCTGATCCATCAGACATTGTAAGAGGGTATTATCACTATTTATAACCTTTCTCTGATAAATAAGTTCCAAGTTCTAAATATAGTATCTGTCTTACCAATAAGTTTCAGAACACAACAGAACTTGGGAAACAGCAGACTACACAGGAGTTAAAGCAGTTGCTTGTGTCTTTGGCTCTGGGTTTCAGACATCTGTTTTAGGGCAGAAAGTCTAATGACAGGGAGCTCATGAACGAATGGGAACCTGGTCTGTAAGCCCTGGACGACCCTCCCATTTTCCCATGGATGTGTTCCTACTAGTTAATGGCCTAATGACTAGGCTTTTCTTGGTGAAGGGAGGCACTATTATTAATTGGTCCTTGTTTGTAAACAAACGGAATGAAGGCAATTGATCACACACATCAGGGCCTACATGGAATGCAATTAATTAAGTGAGTTTCCAAGTGTCTGGAAGCAGCAGGGCTGCTTCTAAACTTTCTTCTAAGCATTTGGTGTTACCCTGGAGTAGCACATGGATCCCCTGTGGATTAAAGGGCAAAACCAGGAGGGATTCTGGCTTCCATCATTCCTTTCACTCTTGCTCTCTCCTGATTCTATAAATCACTTCTGGCAGGTAGCTGGGAAGCAGCAGCGAATGACAGTTTTGCTCTGGAGCACAGGAAGCCACCTTTTAACCTGCCTGCTGTTGTTTGTCTCTCGAAACGTGACAAAGGAACAGACACAAGCAACATGCCAACTGTTGAGAGGATCTGCTCGGAGCACTATAGGAAGCCTGTTCAGAGCCACATCACACCAGCCGCTCCAAGGGAGGACAAGTGAGTTCATTTCCTGAAACCCCTACGCATGCTCTGTTTGTGTAAGGTTGGGATTGGCAATGTTCAGGCAACTCAGCACGCACACCTTTGTCCTGCTTCCACCTTTGTCCCTGTGGCTCCCCGGTCTTGAAGCCCCTTCCTGAACCTCATTCAAATGCCACTGAGGTCCAGTCCAGCCTCGCCGCACACCCCCTTCCCCCCAGGTCTTTTCTGACCCCACACTGCACTCTCATCTCTTGACCAGACTACTGTACACGGTGTGTGCCAGTCTCTAAGTCCCTCATGGGGCAATCTCATCTCTGCAAACCATCTTGTTAACTCCTTGAGTGTTGGAGCCAAGGCTACATACCTTTGTATTCCCAAAGGAGTAGTTTTTCAAATCACTAGTTGCAAACCATGAGTGCATTGGTAAACAAATTTAATGGACTACACTCGATATTTTAAAATATGAAATAAAAACTTACAAAAGACACTCTTGGGACAACTGAATAACTATAAAGTGGATATTAGATGACATTATGAAATTCCTACTAATTTTCCTGGGGATAATAATGGTGGTGTGGTTGTATAGGGGAATGCCTTATTTTTTATTATTTTTATTAGACTTTATGTTTTAGAGCAGTTTTAGGTTCACAGCAAAATTGAGTGGGAGGCATCGTGATTTCTCATATATTCCCTGATCCCACACATGCCCAGCTCTCTCATTATTGACACCCTTGCAAAAGTGGTACATTTGTTATATCGATGACCCTATACTAATACATCATTATCACCCAAAGCCTACAGTTTACATTAGTGTTCACTCTCGGTGGTGTACACTCCATAGGTTTGGACAAAAGTATAATGACATGTATCTACCATGATAGTATCATACAGAGTAGTCTCACTGCCCTGAAATTCATTTGTGAATACCTTATTTTTAGGAGATGCAAGCTAAAGTACTGAGGGGTAACTTACTTTCAAACAGATCAGCAAAAACTATCTCTGTGTGTGCAGGCGCGCATGTATGTGGGCCCATACCTGTGTGTGTGAGTATACACACTCGCACAGATCAAGGAAATGTGCCAAAAATGTTATAACTCTTCCATCTAGGTGTAGGGTGTATGGGTATTCACTGTATTATTCTTTACATTTTTCTGTATATTCTGTGTGTTTGAGAAGTTTTTTGATAAAAGAAGGAAGAAAATGAAACAGAGAAAAAAGTCAGAATGCAGAATATGAAGTACTATTTCGTTCCAGATAAGTATTGATGCATGTGTGTGTTGGGTCACAAGATAAATGCATTTTTCTTATTGTGGGTCAAGGCTCAGAGCACAATAGCAACTTGCTGCTCTAAGCACACTGTAGACTTTCAATGAACTATCTATTAATTAACCTCTAGAACAGGCTTCCTCAAACTACAGCCCTCGGGCCACATGTGGGTGTTTTTGCCATTTGTTTTTTTTACTTCAAAATAAGATATATGCAGTGTGCATAGGAATTTGTTCATAGTTTTTTTAAACTATAGTCTGGCCCTCCAACTGTATGACAGTGAACTGGCCCCCTGTTTAAAAAGTTTGAGGACCCCTGCTCTAGAATAATAGGATTTAACTAAAGAAGCAAGCTGAGAAATCATTTTGTCCTCAGTCACATCCCATTAACTCAAGCTGTGTCAAAACATCTAGGCCCTTTCCTGCCTTAGCACACTTGAGCCTAACTTTAAATCAGCCTTCAGGCCTTTCTTATCAGACAGCTAATGACTCATCAGGAAGAGTACTTCTAGCTTTTCCCCTTGATGCCAGGAAGGGAAGTATGTTAACAGAAGACCCCAAATAGGGTGACCAATTGTCTGGTTTGCTTGGGACTGAGGTGTTTCCCAGGACTAGGGACATTTGGTGCCCAAACCAGGACAGACCTAGGCAAACTAGGGCAGCTGGTCACCCTAAATCTGAGAGAAGACTTGGGGAGAACCTTGGACAGATCACATTGTTTTGCTGTGTGGCAGATGGCAGCACTGCAGTGTGACCAACAGGGCAAACCCAGCGCAGGAAGACTTGTGCCAAGACAGAGATCTCTCTGATGGCTTCCAAAGAGCAATAGCAAATGCCACATTGTAAAGTGTCTCTCATGTCCTTAAACAGAATCTTTCTCTGATTATTCATCAACTAATCCGGAAAGCAAAGGACAAAGGACACTTACTGTAAAAACGTCATCATCACCAAGCTCAGCTTCATTATGGATGGTGGAAGATGATGTTGTTGAGCCTAAAAAGACAAAAACGTAATAAAAAGTATTTCCCAAGAGGATAAGTTAAAACAAATCATTTTTCAAAAAAGAGTATAAGACCACATTCCCTTTTGCATGTGAAGCACCAGGAGAAACATGTTACTTGGGAATTAAGTGCTTTTAATTTATCTTCCTTAATTAACTCTTGCCAGGCAGGATGCTCCCTAAATTAACTTTGCCTACTGTTGTTCCCCATTCATCTCTCAAACTTCTGCAATGGCCACTAGAGAATAAGCACACAGAGGGGCACTATGCAGGTGAGGGGAGAGCCTGCCCATTCCTCCAAGGGGCACATTGAGTGGCCTCCTGCAGTGGCCTTGAGGTGCCAGCTTTGTCGTGGGAAGACTGGACTGGGAGTCCCCACTTAGACCCACCACAATCTCACCATATGAACTGGGCTCAGCTTCTCTGGCCTTTTCATTGACTAGTGAGGGAGTTTTGACTAAATAGCTTGTATGCCTGTCTCCAGTTCCGAATTCATATATTGTAGTTTAAATTCCAGGTTGTGGGAGCCAGTGGCCAGGCAAGGAAGTTTTCTCTTGCAATACCAGGGCACCAGTGAATTTTCTTTGCTTTATTAGGCAAAATTAAGGCTCTTGTCAAAAAACCCAGCTTATTCCCATCATGGAACCACGTGGTCTTTAAAATTCAATTTATTTATTTATTCACCTTTTTCTTCATTCTGGTATGCAAATCAGTATAACTGTCTCACTTTACCCTGCAATAGCACCCAGTAATATGTGGATCAACTTAAATGACCAAAAGAAAAACATATTTAAATTTGCATGACAGATATACCAAAAGGGAAATTTATTCTCTTATCTTTTCCTTTTCTTGGTTAGGTCTTCTAAAATGTACATTTAGAGAATGTTTTGTTATTACATAAAATTGAAATTAAAAGAACTGCTCAGAAAGGGATGAAAAATACTGAAATTTCCAACAAGGCACTGTAGGAGGAAAAACAACAGTCCCATAATACCCTCTGTGCAATTCCTATTGGTCAGTCTTTCAGCATTTTTCTTTGCTCTTTGAATCAGTCTAATCAATCAATGTTTAAGGCAAGTTTGATAGAAAAACAGCTAGGTAGAATGTACATAGAGAAAAACATTATAATAGGACAATCAAATTTTGTGTGTACCTTCAGTGATTAAGTACATAGACACAACACAAACTTCCATCAATAATAATACAGGAGATATTTCTCACTGAACATTTAAAAACTGTTATTTAAAAACATTTTAGGCCAGGCATGGTGGCTCATGCCTATAATATCAGCACTTTGGGACACTGAGGTGGGAGTATCCCTTTAGGCTGGGAGTTTAAGACCAGCCTGCGCAACACAGCAGGACTCTGTCTCTACAAAAAATAGAAAAATTAGCTATGTATGGTTGTGTGGGTCTATAGTCCCAGCTACTCAGGAGACTGAGGTGGGAGGACTGCTTGAGCCCAAGAGTTCAAGGCTGCATTGTAGTGTGCTATGATGGTGCCAATGCACACTAGCCTGGTGACAGAGTGAGACTCTGTCGCAAAAAACAAACAAAATAACCTTTTAAATATTTGCCACTTATGTAAAAACTATGAGGTGAACACTAGTTTTTATTATTTCCTTTTGGCTATCTCATGGTTGCTGTTTATGGATCCATGTTCTAACTAGAATGGTTTTACTACTAATTATAATAATGTTAAGTGATTTTTGTAAGATTTGTTTTAGTCTCTTTCTCCAAAACCACTAATGAAAATGACTTCAGAACATTTTTATTTAATAAACAAATGAAACATACATTCTTTTGTGACTCCTTTCCCCAAATTCTGAATTTGACATTAACATGCCTTGCTTCATATTTCCTTATTCACAGGGCCCTGGCTATGGCACCTTTAACCCGCTGATTTGATAATAGAATGTAAAGTGGAGAATTTGTGTGTTTGCATCTGTGGACTCTAGCCAAGCCCACCATGAGAACTGACTGCCCAAGGGCCTTCTAGGTCCTCATCAGATGTGATGCAATGCCTACTACTCACCCATAGACCAAGGCCTAAACCAAACCAGGGCTCCAGAGGTCACAGTGGCAGCCGTACACCCCAGGCCTCTGATTACAGGAGGACAGTGGGTAGGCCCGGAGCCTTCTGGGCCCGCTAGAATCCATTCTCTACTTCTGAGCCAAGACAGACCAGACCAAAGCCTTTCAAGTCAGGACAAGGTGAAATCAGTCAAAAACACATGCATATGGCAATCCAGAACCTGCCTGCTTGTTTTTTGACAATAGAGTCTAAAAACCAATTGAGATAATTTCTTACTCTGAAAGCCATCTTTTCCTCTACACTGTCTCTTTAATTCCTCTTCCTGGACGCTCCGAAAATTTTGGCATCTACTGACCTGACCCCAAACCCTCCCACAAATAAACCACAAAAACATGATGGCAGACTATATTGGAAGTAAAAGAATTTGGCATATTTCTGTAGTCCCACTATTAATGCAGCAGCAAGTTCAATACCTTCTATAAGGTCTTCGATTGCCTTCCTCACTCCCCTGTCAAAGGCTCGAGCATCAGCAGGGCTTTGGAAAGTCAGTCCAAACTTCCTATTATCAACCTTCCAGTGATGAAACGTTGGATTGGCTTTGGTGTAGACCAAGTCCTTCCTTACATAGCATTCCAATACCACCTGAAGGATGGAAACACACAGGCTGGTTACTTGTGGAACAGCCATGATGATGTCTGGTTACAGAAGTCTAATTAGGAACCATCATCACTGGTGGCAACTAATGAAAACCCTCCATCCCCTTCCTGTACACATCTGTGAGTCTGTCTATCTCAGAAGAAGCCTCTGCTTGCCTGTGGACCTCTAGTCCCTTGGTGTTGGGGATTGCCACTGTCCTAGCTGTAATTCCATCACCAGGCTCTTCTTCCTCCCATTTACTCCCCTTCCACCTGCCCCTGACTGTGGGGCACCAAGCTGATGCCCAGGTCTTGGGGCTTGCACCATTCCAGGTTTACTGCTTCTATGTCGGGGCCTTTGTATTGATGGCTCTAAGTTTTCCCTCCCTGTCCAAATGGGCAACTCCCCATGACCCCAAATCTAACAAGCTGAAAATTTACTAGTTTGCTTTGAAATTTCTGCCACTAGTCTCTCCCCTCCTAACTTCTCCCTGTCTGGCAATGCCAACCCCTCTCTGCTCATTCTGGCAAAAGATCTCTGTGGTCACCTCTGCCGCCTCTGCTTTCTCTATCCCCTGGATTACCAATCACCCAGTCCATTCCATTTTTCCTTCCGCATTTTTTGTATCAACCCCATTTCAGTAGCTGCCACCCTTAATGTTACATTAGGATTACTATTACAATCTCCAAGTTTCTAGCAATTTAGTCTCAGAACTGGCTTTTACTGAGCTATAGCTTTGAGTATATTGATCTTTTCATCTGTAAGATGGAAATAACACCAGTGTTATCAATGAGATCGTGAACATGCTCTGAAAACACTAAGTAAATGAGAAACTCCACAGGGTCACACTCATTGTCCAGCATATTTCCACCATCAAGTTTTACTCCTGTATTTATTCCAGTTCTGCCTCTTGTCATCTTCACAATTCAGTACCTGATTTCATGTTATACTCTAATGGTTTCATGTATATTGGTCTTGCTCCCCAGCCAGACTACAAAAGGTCAAGGTGTCTTATAAAATAACTCCCTGTGTCTAGCACAGTGCTGTTGTCGATAAAGACACCAAAGATCATTCAACATTATAGAATAAAAGAAGCACTGTAATCACATGAATGTAAACTTCATTCTTTATTCATTAAAAAAACCCCACTGTTTATAATATTTATTCCTATAGCTTCATTATAGATGCCATAATGATTCTGCTAAGTATTAATAGCCCTGAGCTTGTTCTGGCAAAGCTCTGCATTTAACACATGTGATCTTATTAATTTAGAAGGGTAAGTGAAGGGTAAGAGTAAAGGCCTGCCTCAATTACTAAAATTTAAATTAGAGAATATCTTTAAAGGAGTACAAATTTCAAGATTACATCAAAGCAAAAAGAAATTAAATGCTCCCTAATAAATGTTCCCTAACTTAAATAAATGAGAATATTCAAATTGGCATACCAAACAGCAGTCCCAAGCAGTTAACTTTATTACATTGTATTGAAATAGGACAACAGTTCCCTCACACAATTCTATTTATGATTAAATTCCTTATTATGGCCATTTTCCCCTAAGAATAGTGCAATGATTAAATGTTAGCCCAGCCCCATTCCAAACTGGGGAAATCCAAATAACCAAGGATTTAACTAACAAATGTTATCTATTTTAGAATTTAATAGTCTTAATAGAAAGTCTCAAAATAAACTTTTTGTAAAAACAAAGACTCCAAGTTTCTCCATACTTTCAGGGTGAAAAAAATTAAGTCTTTGGTTGACATTTTCCAACTTTAAAATTATCCAAAGATATATTTTCTTAGAAAAGTTTAAGTAAAGTAAGTGAAGCCACCTAAGTGAGGAGGGGAATCAGATACCATCTCTTTTTGTCCTCTGAATCTTTATGTATCTAAGTTTAACAATAAAAATGAAAAAGTTCAGATGCTTTGATCTTCATAACAGATATAAACCCTCTGGTGAAGTTTTGGCACACACACCATGAGGCATTAACTTAAAACTTGAGAAAGGCTTTTTAAAATACCTTTTTAAATAAGATGCATGAGAAGAAAACAAGTGATTATATTCTTTGCAGGCTTTAAAAAAACCTACATGAGAAATACACATTGTAAAAGATTTAAGTAATTTAGATGAACATATGAAGGCTGCATTCTTACTAATCTTTCCCTCCCATCCTCAACACCTCTCTATTTCCAGAGAGGTGGACATCTCAGTAATTTGTAATTGATCACTTTTACAGACAATGATGCAATTTACATCTTTATATACTGCAAGTGAAAATTAGTACTTGGGATAGCTTCCCAATATTTGCAGACTTTTCTAATGAGTCAGTGGCAATAAGAAATGTGATTTTTTGAGATTATAGAATACAAATATGTCAACATTTGGAATATCTGCTTAACTCAGTGAACCATTATTTTCCTGATGATCAATGCATGATGTTACAAAATCAGGTGTGAATAAAAAAGATCCAAAGTACAAAATAAACCAGTGAATTTTAATGTGACAGAGTATGAAAAGTTCATTGAGATGGTTTCAGATTCTACATTTAAGAAACTATTACGAGTAGATTTTTAGTGTATTATCATTTAAAGAAGAGTATCTATAATTGTCTGAAAAGGCTATTGAAATATTTCTCCCTTTCCAACTACATATCTGTGTAAAGCTGGGTTTTCTTCATATATATCAACCAAAAGTAACATATTACAACAGGTCAAAAGCAGGAGTATATATTACTATACAATTCAGCGATTTTATATTAAGCCAGATATTAAAGACATTTCCAAAAACATAAATAAAACAATGCCACTGTTCTCATGAATTACTTTTGCTCTGGAAAACACTTAAATGGTTATTTGTCATAAAATGTTACTTATAGGCAGTACGCGAGGTGGCTCACGCCTGTAATCCTAGCACTCTGGGAGGCCGAGGCGGCCGGATTGCTCGAGGTTAGGAGTTCGAAACCAGCCTGAGCAAGAGCGAGACCCTGTCTCTACTATAAATAGAAAGAAATTAATTGGCCAACTAATATATATATATATATTAGCCGAGCATGGTGGTGCATGCCTGTAGTCCCAGCTACTCGGGAGGCTGAGGCAGCTGACGCCACAGCACTCCACTCTAGCCTGGGCAACAAAGTGAGACTCTGTCTCAAAAAAAAAAAAAAATGTTACTTATATTAACAATATTGTTTAAGAGTTTTTTAAAATTTCAGTTTTAATTTCTAATTTAGTAAATATTAACAGCTGTAATTCACCAAAACAAAAGTTCTTTGGGGTTCTCAATACATTTTTAGAGTGTAAAACAATCCTGAGATCAAAAAAGTTTAAGAACTGTTGATGTCCATAAATCTTTGTGTATAAGCCTTTTTCTATAGGATGGTGTTCTAGATGCAAACTGTTCGGTAAAAAGATATGCACATTTAAAATTAAAATTCTTGGCCAGGCAAAGTGGCTCACCCCTGTAGTCCTAGCACTCTGGGAGGCCTAGGTGGGAAGACTGCTTGAAGCCAGGAGTTTGAGCAAGAACGAGACCTTGTCTCTACCAAAAATAGAAAAAAAGCCAGGCGTAGTGGCATGTACCTGGGAGGCCGAGGCAGGAGAATCCCTTGAGCCCAGGAGTTTGAAATTACATAAGCAATGATAATGCCACTGTACTCTGGCCAGGGTGACAGAGTGAGAATCTATCTCAAAAAATAAAAACTTAAAATTAAAATCTTGCCAAATTGTGTTTCAAAGAGCTTTGTCAGCTCAAATTCTCACCAAATGTTACATGAGAATGTTCTCTGACCTATACAAGGGCAACAACTGGAATGATCAACCGTTTAGATTTTGTGATTAATCTTCACAAAGTGGTTTCTCATAGGATTTTTTTAAGGAGTATACTTCTCTAATCCATCTAAAGTAAGATGCAACTCAGAATTTTTTTTTTTTTTTTTTTGAGGTTGCCAGGGCTAGAGTGCCATGGCGTCAGCCTAACTCACAGCAACCTCAAATTCCTAGGCTTAAGCGATCCTCCTGCCTTAGCTTCCCGAGTAGCTGGGACTACAGGCATGTACCACCATGCCTGGCTAATTTTTTCTATATATTTTTAGTTGTCCAGCTAATTTCTTTTTATTTTTAGTAGAGATGGGGTCTCACTCTTGCTCAGGCTGGTCTTGAACTCCTGAACTCAAAACGATCCACCCTCCTTGGCCTCCTAGAGTGCTAGGATTACAGGTGTGATGGCTCATGCCAGGCCAGAAAATTTTAATTTACATATAATTTCTTAGGCTTGTTGCCAATTTAACAAAACATTATCTCAATGACTATTTGTGAATGGGTGTCTGGAACAGAAACTTTTCTGACAGACACACAGCAGTTCAGTTCACAGGCCTCAATAATATGTAGTTAAAAACAAACAAACAAATAAATAGACAAACAAACCCCCCTATAACATGCTGGATTCTAGAACTATAATACACTAGAAAAACTATTGGCAACACTATTTTTATCAGAAAGAGCATTGCATGCTCTGGTTGGAAGACTAGAACTTGATACTACACATCCAATGTATTCTTAAAATTATTTCCATCCTCTCCTCACCATCTCACCTTTTGTGGGGGTTCCCTCAACAAGCCAGCCTCTCTAGTGGGGACAAGCACTGCATTACAGAAGCTTGACAGGCAAAAGGAAGAGTCTGCATGTGTGTGTGTGTGTGTGTGTGTGTGTGTGTGTGTGTGTGTGTGTGTATCTGTGTGTGAGTGTCATGGGGATGGGGCTGGAGGAGGGGCTACACATCACTGAGTATAGGAACCCAGAATTCTCCTCAGAGTGTGAAACAGGCAAGGTGAAGGATGGAAAGATGGAGAAGTAGAGCAGGGAGTATGGGCGTGTGACTTAAGTACTAGCAAATATAAAAGCCCTGAAGTGTGGAGTCACAGAACGTAAAAGGGATGGGAAGAGGGATGGGGAGATGAAGAAACATGATGGAGGAGGGGCTGAGGTATGCTTTTAGGGTTGTATTGTCCTTTACAATGGCAACAATGGAAGCAGGTTCACAGCTCCATGGGGGTGGACCGAGGACTGGGACTGCCCTATTAGTAGGAAGAGTCAGTATGAAGAAACTAGGCTTTGGCTTCCCAAAGAAATGGGCTCTACTGCGGGCTCTGCCAATGACTGCATGCCCCAGACCATTTCTGGGGCACTGAGTTTCCCCAATATAATATGGAGATAATAGTATCTTACTCCTTTCAGAATGTTACAGGAATTTAACTGAGGTTATGTATATTAAGGACCTCAAACAAAATGGTAAAAGTTTATAATTATTATGCAAGTCACTGGTAAGAACCAGTGTTTATAAAACTAAGGGGCTGGATTAGACAACCTAAAGGGCCATTTTAGGTTGAAATAGTCTATGACAAACCATAGAAAAACCAAGAAAAAAAACAGCTCTAAAATATATATAACCCTTCTGATAAAATAATTTGCTAACATAGCTCAACAATAAAAATAAAAAGGGGAAAAAAGTAAAAAAAAATTTCTATCAAAACTTTGTAGGAAAAGAACACCAACTAAAATAAAAAGGCAACAATAGATTATAAAAATATATTTGCAGCAAATATGGCAGATGAAGATTAATATCATTATTATACAAGATGGCATACATATTAAGAACAAAAATAAGGCCCTAATATGTAAATATATGAAGGACATTAGCAGTTACAACTATTTACAACAGAAAACAGTTTACAACAGAAAAACGTTTTATCTCATGATACCACTATTCTTCTATCAAATCGGTAAAGATTTAAAATGTATGACCCTCAATGTGTTAAAGGAAATTCTCATGCTTGTAGCAGCCTCTTGGATATGTATCAAAGTGTCATGAAAATGACACCTCCCAAATTATTCCAAAAAATAATAAATATGAAAAATGCACATTGGTGTCTACTCATAATACGGAGGGTTCGGGGAGTCGGAAAGAACGTTAATATTTGACACTAAGGAGCTAGCCAACAATTAAACATCAAATGGATATCAACAATATAGAAAATTTCCTATGAGAATGTTAGGGAAAACAAATGAGATACAAAACTGTTTACCAATTGATTATAGCTAGGTAAAAATAAAAATATGCCTGGGCAGAGTGGTGTGAACTTGTAATCCCAGCTACATGGGAGGCTGAGGAGGAAGGATCTCTTGAGCCCAGGAGTTTGTAGCCAGCTTGGGCAATATGGTGAGATTCCATCTCTAAAAATTAAAAAAAAAAAAAAAAAGTACAAGGGGGAAAATACCTACATCAAAGGGCTAAAGGTGGTTTGTGTATGTGCGATTCTGATTCATTTTTGGAGTCAGAGTAATAGAGTATCAAATACTAGTTCTAAGCCCCCCAAAATGGGTCACACCAAGAACAAGGAATCTTTCTGAATCTTAATTTTTTCTTCAATTACAATTATATAGGCTGCTGTAAGGATACAATGATACATACAACCTAACCAAAGGGCTGGCATTATAGTTAGTACATGATAAATGCTAGATAAATGGCAGTCATTTTCCTTTTTATTGGTAATATGGTTAAATTGCCTTTATTGAAAAAATGTTATAAACAAGAATGTTTAATTATTTGACTATTGTGCAAGGAATTTCCTGAATAGATACTTCTTAAAATTCACTATATTTCCTCTTTAAATTTTCAGAAATGAATCAAGTGTGAAATAGCATTTCTGTTAATCCATATATAGAATTTACAAATTGCTCTGTCTTATCTATTTTGTAACTTTTTAAACTTTTAGAAGTGGTTGCAAAAGAAGATTAAATTTGTAAACTTAACACATAAAATTCAACAGATGCCACTGTAAAGGGTCTCAAATGTAACACTGACATATTCTTATGGTATCTTTACATTTTCTCTGTGAGATCCTGTATAACCCTGCACATTCCGAATCATCTGTTGGCTTTGGAGTATACACTCCATGATCAAACACAGAGGCAGTGTTCTTCTGTGTTTAGGGCCATTAATTTAAAATAGATTTGGACATTCAACTTTCCTTCCTATCATATAGATTCCTTCATAACACAGAAGTGGACATTCAAATTCCTTCATAAGACCACATTTTGAACTAAAGATTACTCTCCTAAGTATTTATGCATAAGCATGTATAATTATAGAAGTGTGATATCACTACTTTTTGTTACTTTCTTTTTCCAAACATGTTCATTAGCTTATGAAATAAAAGCTACAGTATCTTTTAGACAAACATTTACTTAGAAGTAGCCAAATGTCAAGTGACACCCTCTTTGCCTTTGCATTTTTACCTTCCATCCTACAAACCTCAATGACATGCTCCACGATAAACCCCACAGTTAAAAAACTCTGACTTCACAGCTCAGTACCATTGTGATTCATAATAACAGAAGACACACTTTTGTTTTGACTACCTTGTTACAATGACAGAAAGACATCTTCATTAATCAAAGACGCAAACAAGACAGCCAAACATACTACTAAGCATCTAAGTTATACCATGTGTGGTCAAAAGAGACTTTGCTGGAAAGGGAGAGTCATGTTTTGCAATTTGGCACCAGCCCCACAGTTCTAACTTTTGAAGCTTTTGCAAGAGTTTGAAGTCAGAGAAAGAAGAAAAAAATACCTACGGGAAGAGGGCTAAGATTTAATGTAAAGAAATCAGTTGTTGCTAATTTAACCCATGTGTTGTATGTCTGCCATTACCAGTTTGTCTTTCTGTCGTTCACCATGGATGAGAAAGCCGCTTCGTCCATTGCCTTCAGGGTGCATGACCTTACAGACCCCGACGCGACTGATCCCGCCTCCTTCCTGTGGGAACCATCCCCCGCTGGAGTCATCTCTGGTCATAACCACAGCCTTGACACGCACAATATAGCTGTCACTAAAACGACAACAACAAGAAGAATGGGGCATGACAATGGTCTGGTAGCTGCAGAACATGTTTCACAATTCAAGTTGATCACCAGCCAGCACTTTTCTGGACTCGTCAAAAGAAAACTCTATGCCTGGCAGCAAACTTAAAAGGTAAACCATCAACTTTTAGGGAAAAAGCAAGACACTTAAACTGAATATTAAAGTACATTTTAAAAAGATACCTAGTAATTAAAAAATACTTGTGAGTCTTTGAAGATGTATGCAGGTAAAATATTCTCCAGTTTCAGGGTATAAGTATTAATAATAAAACAAATAAGCTGATCTCTGCAATTACAGTCTCTATAGCTTAATTAATTTAAGATGGTATCATGGCTTCAACCCTTTAAACTTAGTTGACAATGAATGACCAAGTCTTAACATTTTATAAAGCTAATATTCTTATTTAGCACAAAATAGAATTATCTACTCCAAATCACAAATTCACCATGAAATCATTTATATAGGTGGGAAAATATTTCAATTCGAATAATTCTTTACACATTTGTAGCCTTCTGTTTATGATTTTATTTTTTTCCAGTCTAAAACTTTAATTTCGCAATAAATTCTTTTGCACATTTGTCAAAAATCCTCTTTTTCCTCCAGAGAACAACTCTAGCTTCTTTTCATTCTTCATTACTTTTGGGGGAAATATTATATGATTTTCAGCAAGGCCACTACATTCTCACTTGCTGTTTTCTTTCTTTGGAAAGGATTCATTTTTTACTCATTCAAACATATATTCACGTCTCGTATATGCCAGGCGCTGTGCCAGATTCTAGGGAAGCAAAGACGCAGAGTAACATACAATCCTCTGGGGGAGACTGTCCCCAGTGCTCAGAGCCTGGCCACCAAGATCTGCCAGAGGCCACAGAGACAGTCCCTCTGCCCTACACCCCTGCTCACCTCACTCACACTCAAAGGCAAAGCCACTGGACTTTCCATGACCCCAACAGCTCACCCTCTACTGTGACCCAGCTCCCCTTCCCTGCTGTCCTCCCCGAGGTCCACCATTCCCCTTTCTTCCTCATCCCCTCCTCTGACCATTCCTTTCATTTTTTTATTGAGGCAAATTATAAACAACATAAAATTTACCATCTTAACCATTTTTAAGTGTGTAAGTTCAGTGGTGTTATTAATACCTGCACCCACATCATTGTGCAACCATCACCCCCATCCACTTGCAGAACTTTTTCATCATCCCAAACTGAAACTCTGTACCCACTGAACACTAACTCCCATTCCCTGCTTCCCCCACCATTCAACTTTCTGTCCCTGTGACTTTGACCACTCTAGCTATTTCATATATGCTCCTTTCACCTTCCTAACCTAAAAGGAAATGTGCTTTCGGCTAAGGCTCCGTGGCCTTCCTCCATGGCCCTTTCTCAGGAGGCTGCTCGCTCTCTCCCACATCTCTGCCCGCTGGGCCTAGACTGGGCCTAGATGTGGGCAGGGCGCTTACCACGGCTGCAGCCTATCTGCCCTCCCTCTGGTTTCAGTTCCTCTAAGCTCACACACCTGTCCCTGCCCCTCACAACCTTTCTTCAATCTCTACAGACCTCTAGGTCACCCCCCTCATTCCCTGAAGACCTTAGCACCTGGGTTCACCGTCCCTCCATCTCTCCACTGCGATCCCTGCCATGATTCTCGATAATTTTGTTATTGACTCTGAAGATCCTTCTAATTCCTTGGCCTCTCAGTTTCTGGGATTCTTCCCCTCCAATGCCCTTGTCTTACATACCTAACCATAGCCATTCATGCCTAGGTCAACCCTTGATTTGTCATTACCAATATCTGCACCACCTCAATTTTATTTTATTTCTATTTTTTTAGAGATAGGGTCTTGCCCTGTTACCCAGACTGGAGTGGAGTGGTACCATCATAGTTTACTGTAACCTCAAACTCCTGGGCTCAAGTGACACTCCTGCCTCAGCCTCCCAAGTAGCTAAGACTATAAGTATGCACAATCGCACCAGGCTGATTTTTAAATTTTTTGTAGAGACAGTGACTCACTATGTTGTCCAGGTTGGTCTTGAACTCCTAGGCTCAAGCAATCCTCCTGCCTTGGCCTCCCAAAGTGCTGGGACTACAGGCGTGAGCTACAGTGCCTGGCCCCACCTCAATTTTAAGCATCCTGCTCTCTAACCATCTCCTGACTTTGCAGCTCCCTCTCTCCAGACTCCAATAATTCTTCACCCCACTGGGACCAACAATGTATTGGTTCTGATCACTTTAACCCTCTTCCCCAGACCCCCTCATGTGCTCACTTGATTCTCTACCCAACCTAAGTTCCACAGTCTATCACAATCTCTCTGCACACAATCTTAGAGCCTTTGCCTTCTCTTTCCTTACTGTCATTGCCTGGGACGACCCCAACCCGCTTAAATCCTACATCTACCTACTACATGCTCCCTCCCAGGCCGCTGAGCATGGTGAGAGGAAAAAACTCCACTCTACTATGCTTAGAGGCCTTGTTTTAAAGTCATGAACACTAACCTCAGGTGGGTCCTTAAGTGCCACCTGGCATCCTGCTACATTTCCTTGATCTGTCCCCACAAAGACTATCTCACACAGCCTCCTACCCACTTGCTCTCAGATGATGGGTGGGCTTACTTTACCGTCACTGAGAAAGGAGACACAATCAGAAGAGACCTTGCACCTGTGCCTACCACCATGCCTACTACTTTGTACTAGTACTCCCTCTGCCTTTCCTCCTGTAACTGTGGCTTAACCATCCGCGATCCAAGCTGGGGCCTACTCCTCCACTTACTTACCTTCTGTATGCTAACAGTGCCCAAATCGACATTTCCAACCAGGTCTCTTCCCCAGCTTCAGACCAGTAAGACCAACAATGGCCTATGATTTCTCTGCTTGAGCATCTAATAGGCATCTCAACCAACATGTTTCAGAGTGAATTCTTGATTCTGACACCTTCCCATCCTTCTGATTCTCTCTTTAAAATATATTCAGAATCTACTTTTTACCACCTCCATTAACACTGACCTGATCTAGCTGCCATCACCTTCCACTGAGATGACTGCGATAACCTCCCAATTGGCATCCTTACTCCCACATTTGCCCAACTTGCCCGGAAAACAGAATGGTAAGTCAGATCCCCACACTCTACTCAAACAAATACTCCAGTAGTAGCCTATATTACTCTGTAAAAGCCAAAATCTGGCCTTACCCTACTACTCTCCTTCTTGCTCATTCTACTATAGTGCCACAACTCCTTGATGGCCCTGTGCATTAAGCACCCTCCTACTGCAGGGCCTTTGCATTTGCTGTCTCTTCTATTTAAAACCCTACTCCACACACGCCAAATAGGCTCATTCTTTCATTGCATTCAGGTCTCTGCCCAAGGTTATTTCATCATATTAATAGACGACTTCCCTGTCCACGCTATGTAAAGCCACCCCTCTTAAATCTTCTCACCCTGTTTTGTCTTTCTACATGCTAGTAAATCAATGCTTGCCCTATGACACATCTGTTTACCTACTGGGATATAAATTCCACAAGAGCAGGGACTTTGCCCTTTTTGTTCACTGCTACATCCCTAGAGCCTAGAATGGTGTCTTATATTTAACAGGTTGTGAGATGAATAGATTAAATACATAATATAAACAGGTTTTTGAAAATATATTTGCAGCTAACAGATTCCCTGTAAAAATATAAAGTGTTCAATACTCATTTGCTTATGAACCACAATAGTGTTATTGGAATAACCATAAAGATTTCCTTCTCATTAATAGGAAAATTGAATAAAAATCACAGGTTCTGTATTATATAAGTACATACAAAAATCACAGGATACACATGCACATATATTACTGATCCACTCATTTCATACTCATGGATATTCCTCTAGATCCCAGACATTAAGAACATTTTATAACATTTATTTAGATTAACTGCATACAATTTTAGAGAATAGCCATCGTTTTTCTTTCCTATACCTTGTTTATGTCAGAAAAACTAAGGGGCCCCAGGATTTGCAATTCTGTAGTGTGCAACACAGCTTTTTCAGATCTTCTGTGAGTATCCTGTGGGCTCATCTCAACAGGAAATGGCCAAGGTGAAGAACTGAAACTCTACACACCTCCTGTTAAAAACACTTTTCCTTTTTTTGTGTGGCAGCTGTGTGCTAGTCTCCCTTTCTTTGAGGGGATTGAGTAAACATGAAAAAGGGAAGGCTGCATTATTTATGTTGGTGCCATAAACTTACTTCCAAAACAAGTACTCATTTATCAGAGATTTTATAAAATATCCTACCCTCTGCTTTCAGACTACAAGGGCTGCCCCTCTGTGGCATCCTTTCTCCCGCCTCAATTCCTCCCACCGTTGCCTTCCTGAGGGCAGACTTCTCTGTGTGGGGTGGGGGCTCAAGGGGCAGAAGCCCCCTTCGTCTCCTCGGCAACAACCCCACAGCCAGCATTAACGGAGGCATCCGGCTATTTAAAACAAGGCAGGGGGATAAAGTGTGGCACTAGAAGTTGCGGAGGATGTCTGGATAATCCAGCTGCATGGCCGCCTGCCAAATGCTTCCTATCTGTGGTGTATTTACGTTACTCAGGCACTTCACCCCACCCAGAACAGACACCACAATGAACTCTACTACCAAACAGATAGAAAGGAGGAAAACTCCCTTTCCACCTTCCCTCCCCCTCTCTCTGGAAAGAATTAAATAACATCTGTTTAAAACAGATGCAGGGTTTGGGGTGGGGGCGGGTAACGGAGCAGGAAGGGCAAGGGAGATTCATTTTTTTAAATTTGCACAAGGAAAATGCTGCTGGTATGCCTTAGAAAAAATTTCAAAACATGCTATCTTTGTCAAAAATAACAAAACATTTTATTTATTTATTTATTTTTTATTTTGACATATTATGGGGGTACAGATTTTAAGGTTTCAATAAATGCCCATTTTCCCCCCTCCCCCAAAAAACATTTTTTTTAAAAGCTTCTGAAATGGAC